GTGGTCTTGCTACACATTTTCTGTAGAGACAGGTGGTCTTAAACTCCTGGCTTCAAGCTGTCCTCCACCTTGGCCTCCCAAAGTGTTGGAATTACAGGCATGAGCCACTGAACGTGGCCCTAAAAACATTTTTTTAAAGTTAAATAAGATGCACCTAGAAAAGGGGAGCTGCTGCCTGTTGGATGCTTTTTTCTCAGGGTTTACTACCCCTTCTTCAGGGTGAACACCGTCCCCATCCCGAGAGGTCTGTGCACCAACCCTGCCTGTGCCGCCCCTCCTCCCACACTGCAGGTTGCCAGCCCCACCTCAGATGTAGGGAACTCGAGGCACTGGCCAGTTAAAGCGATGTGCCCAGGGCTGACATCAGGGGAAAAGGCAGGAACACATGCCCCGTCTGGACTCTGGCCTTGCACCCACCCGACTCCGTGTTCCATCTCGTGGGTGGCACAGACCCAGCAACCTGGTGCTCATCTCATGTCAGCGCCTTAGCACTTACAAAGGAGCCTTCCCCGGGTCCAGAGGGTGCTACCTCTACCTACTTTAGGGACACTCAAGACCATGTGTAGTCTCGCCAGGGTCCAGGTGTCCACTGCTGCAGGGAGATCCTCCACTCAGGTCCTGCCTAGTCCTGGGGCCTGGGCCACCTCCATGGCTGGCCCACCTGTGGTCCCAAGGCTGAAATCCAGCCTGCTTCAGAACTGGACGTGCTCTCTGGTGCAGAAAGGCCAGGTGGGCACGAAGAGGGGTGTGTGCGCATCACAGGACACCTTCGTCTCGGTGGCAGGTGGCTTCTCAGGGAGAGGCAGCGGCACACGTGGCTGAGACACAGACGCTGGGACCGCACCTTCCCATCTAAGACCCAGCCGCAGGAAGCCCTTGGGACAGGGGACACAAGGAGTGGAGCCGCCACATGCTTCCCGGTGAAGCTGAGCAGCCACAGGCTGTGGGGAGCGCTGGGGCCTACGAGCCCCACGCCTGGCCTCAGGCCCTCGCTGTATGCCGGGGTGAGGCTCTGGCCCCGGCCGGTTGGTGTGCAGGGGGTGTAGCCCACCTACGAGGATGGTTTCTTACTGTCCTCGCTGAGTATCACAGGCAGGTGACACCAATGGGGGGAGTCTCGTAAGTGGCCAGTCTGCCAGCTCATAAAGCAAAGGCGTGTTCTGTCGCCTTACCATTCTGACTCTGACGCCTAGGGAGCGACTACGAGAGGATTCAGGGTCAGGAGGGATTTTGGAGCCGCAGACGTGGTGGTTCTGGGGAAGGGAGAGTTCCCCGTGTGCCTGCCCGGCTGGCAGCTGTTCTTGCTGGTTGCCTCCCTAAAGCAACAGTCATCACTTCCTGCCACCTGGGGTTGCCATGAGCTGCGGCCAAAGCCCGCCCGCCGAGGAGCCGACCCGGCCCAGGCGACCACCAGCCCTGCCTCCCTTCCCGCAGCCAAGGCTGCAGCCAGCTTCCGTTTCGGGAGTCTCGGGCCACGGTATATTCGCTCTGGGGCTGGTTATACAGTTTTGCCCTCTTGTTCTTCCTACGGTGTCCACATTGGTCCTGGCCGGGCCTTTCTTCTTTCTGGAATAGCTGGCGACACAGCTGGACGGCTTGGGGAACTAGCGGATCTCTAGGCCAGCAAGGATGCCCACTGCAGTCTGGTGCTGGTCTTTCCCTCCCTGCGGCTGCCACTGTTTCTTCAGGGACGCACAGTGCCTTAGGACGAGCGCTGTGGGTGACCACGAAGACAGCGATACTCTGATGATTCAACCACTAAGGCAAGGGAGGAGAGAGCCGGAATGGGCCTCGGAGGTGTCTTGCAGCAAAGGCGGAAGAGCTGGCCAGGACTGCTCCCTTCAATCTCTTGGGGATGATTCCAGACTACAGGAGAGTGGCACTAGCTCCCTGCAGGACCCCATGAACCTGGTGACACCGAGACATAGGAACTACTTAGGCCTGGGGGCTGCAGACCCCATGCCACCAGGCTCGCTGGTCAGTCATGTTGTGGGACAGAGCCTGGGCCAGCCTGGAAGGAAGGTCACCAGGACCACAGGGTCACTCTGACTTGGAGAATCTCTACTTCAAAGAGGCTACTGGGGGCCGGGCGCGGTGCTCACAGCTGTAATGCCAGCACTCTGGGAGGCCGAGGTAGGAAGATCGCTTGGGGTCAGGAGACTAGCCTGAGTGAGATCCCATCTCTACTAAAAATAGAAAAATTAGCCGGGCGTGGTGGCTCATGCCTGTAGTCCCAGCTACTGGGGAGGCTGAGGCAGGAGGATCCCTTGAGCCCAGGAGTTGGAGGTTGCTATGAGCTAGGCTGACGTCACTGTGCTCTAGCCGGGGTGACAGAGCAAGACCCTGTCTCAAAAAAAAAAAAAAAAAGAGGCTACTGGGCTTGGTCTCAAGAGCAGCTTCTTCCCAAACTGGGTTGCCTCAGACATTTTCCCCAGTGACAGCAGTTGAGGGCTGAGCCAGCAATTTATGGAGGACTAAAAAAAGCACAAACTAAAACAAAAAACTAGCTGCATTCCTTAAACAGCCTTGTTCACACCTACACGTACGCTAAACACACGGTGCCTTGCATGAAGGGCAGCCCAGCTCACTGCCAAGTACAAGAAAATGACTTGAGAAGTAACACTATATTTCTTTGCAAAACTTTTATTGCACTTAAAATGGACCATTCCCCTTTGTGGGTCAGATGTTATCACTTAAAAAATTTTTTTAACTCTTTCCTGTCCCACTGAAAAGTTTCCTGTCTTCCGAAAGGGTTAGGAATAGTCTATTCTTGCTGGTCGAAACAGGCTTGGGAGGGCTGCTGCCTTCTGTGCCCTGCGGGGGTGCTGGCCATGGGTCTCCCCTGGACTTGGCCCCGCGCCTGGGCTCGCTGGCACCGTCCACAGCGGGAGCTCCGGCATTCTATGTGCGAAGGTATATGCATGTCTATCCTGCTGCCCTGCCTTTCAGGAGGGGCTTCATTTTCGGGAAGAAAACCTGCCTGGAACTGTGTGCATTTCCAGAGTTGGAAAACACTTCATGCAGCAAGTCGCCAGAGCACTAAAATCAACTGCAAACTAGTGGTTACAAAATGGGATCTTAAAAAAAGTGCTCTCCTAGAATCTAAAGTCCTAACACCATCGGGCGCTGGGGAACACGGTGCGGGCTGGCGGGCTCTGGGAGTCTCTAGCAAAGTCTCCAGTCCCGTCTGGCGACTGCAGGCAGCAGCGTGTGCTTGAGAGGGTGCCGTGATGTTAAGGCTGGCCAGGGCTGGCAGCAGCAGGAGGCAAGGGTGGCATGTGGCGTCCCTGCTACATTAGGCCAGTCAGAGCGTATCATACTGTCGCTCCCCGTGCGAGTCACTTTGCCAACTGCTCCCTTGTTCTGGGGTCAGCAGGAGCGACAAGGGATGGAGGCAGCTCTGCCGGGCTTGGCTGGTTACGGTGGCGTTTGAGAGGAGAACGGGGTCAGGGAAAAGGCCACATGGGCGGTGACGGTCCTGTCCTAGGTCCAATTTTACTGGAAGATTGGGGTTTGAAGATGAAATCTAGAATACCCTGCTCTCCCCTCTTTTAAGAGAATAAAAACGGAGACTTTGCCTCAGCAGAAAACAAGAATTGCAGAAGTCAGAGCTGTGACGGCTGCTAGCAGCACGTCTCCTGGATTCCCACGGGAGAGAGACGGCAGCTTTTGGACCAAGTGAAGAATAGGTTCTTCGCTTTGTGGTTGGGATGCATGTTCAAGTTGAGGCACGGTGTAGCTCTCCATGGAAACTCCAAGGTCAGCAGGGACGCTCGGCCAGCCCTGCCCTCAGGATGCCCCGTGGAGCCGCCCTCCCCACCAGGAGGCGGCTGAGCGCCCCTCGAGGCGGCCTGGCGCTGCAGGAACCCTCCCTTGGCTACGTGCTATTTTGAAGACAAGCACCCCAACCCCTCCAACCTTCTCAGGCAGTGGCTTGATGAGCTGTATGCAGCCTGAACTGTGAGCAATGGACAGTGTGGCCCTAGAGCTAGTGTCACCTCTTACTGCCCCGTGAAGATCCTGGCACAGGGGAGGCCCCCATCACGCCTGGGAAGGGAAGGCTGGAGCCTGCTTGTGAGAGGCCAGCCTCAACCCCAATAGCTGCTGCAGCGAATGCGTTTCTGTCTGCCTGGGTCTTCAGTGGGGCAGAGGGAATTCTCATCAGCCACGCTGATGACAAGGTCCCACCCCGTACTGTCTTGGCCAGCCAGGAAGAGGGCTTGCCCCGAAACTTTAACATACGTGCCAAGGAAGGTGAAACCCTGGCACCAACACGGAGAAAAATGGGTTCTGCAGAGCCAGGATTCCAACAGGGAGGGGCAAGAGCGGCAGCTCGGCCTCCGGCTTGGCCCCAAACAGCGCTGGAAACGCATCCCGACGAGCGGGTGGCTCTCGTGGCAAGTCCGGAGCCCCGGTGAGAGCACGGCACCAGGCAGAGGAGGGCCAGACAGTTCCAGGAGGGGACAGAGAGCTGTGAGCAGGAACCAGTGAGGGTCCCGGGCTGCTCCGTGATGCCAGCCGGGCCAGTAACACGAGGAAGAAGGCTAATAAATAGGTGTGCGTGACAAACATCTGGTCGTTCGGTCAGTTCTGGGCCAGGTTGTGCCAGAGGCAGCAAAGGCCTCGCTGTCACTCCTGCCCAGGTGCCAGGTGATCAGTGTCTCTAGTACAGATATAAAAATGAAGTTGTTTCAAGTATTAAAAAAATAAGTTAATTGACAAAAAGGGTTCAAAGCGGCGGAGCATCTTGCCAGGTCAACTTCATTTCAATGTGCAAACACAGGAAAACGCCCAGGAAAAAGGTCATTCCCTTCCCTGATGTACAGCACTGACCAGTGACAACGGCTGTCTGTAACTGGGGCTTGAAATGCAAGGCCTCGCCCTGACCCCAGAGTCAGTATTTTCCAGTGTCAAAACGGTTGTGAACTGAAAGCAAAATGCAGCAACCCCAGGCCTCAGGCCACCGCCAGAGAGAGGCCTGGGGCGTTGGGCCACACGCGGTCTGGCGTGTGGGGTCGGGGCAGGGGAGCAGGCCCTCTGCCAACTTCTCACTTGCATGGTAAGTTCCAGAGCCTGCCCGCCACTCGGTGTCCCATGCGATGCTGGGTGGGCGCTGCTCCGAACGGCCACTGCCCCCTCCCAGGTCTCGAGTCACATCTTGCTTTCGTGCGGTGCATTTTTCGTTTCTTTGGTGGTGCTCAGGGAGCACGAAGACAGCTGCCTCCCGCGCCGTGGAGGTGTACTCGGCGGCGGCCGTGGTTCCGACAGACAGGGAGCAGCTTTCTTCTCTTACCAAATGTGGAAAGAGGGGGCACCAGCCGGCGTGTCCCCAGGGAGCGTGTGGGGTCCCCCACTCCTACGTCATACGCGACATGCTCCTCTCTTCCGAGCGGGAAGTCTCTTCGGAGGAGGCGGGGTCACGTTGGACAGTCCTCGTCACCTGGGGTTCCCTGCAGCACACGAGACTTGACCCCCCTTTCAAGAGGCACACGGGCATCTGAGTGCGGACCCCATGGAGGTGCCAGGCCTTCTCAGGTCCCGGATCCAGGTGGTTTGGAGACCGCAGCCCGGTCAGGCGGATGCCAACAGACCGATGGCGAGCGTGGGTGGGAGCTCAGGACCAGTTCAGGCTGAAGCCCTTGGACAGCATGGCGGCCTCCAGGTCCTTGTCCTCCTCTTTCTCCCGGAGCCGCTGCTCCTCCAGCAGCGCCACCAGAGAGTCTCTCTGCTCCACCACCTCCAGCATCTCGTTGAGGATCTTCTTCTCCTCTGACAACTCCTCCTCGGTCTTCAGGTGATCTGGGAGCAGCCGAAGACATCAGGTGTGAGGGCCCAGGAGGCGGGAGCCACACGGCTTCCATGTGCGCCACCCCCCCACTCACCTTCCACCGCCATGCGCTCCCGGAGCTCCTGCTGCAGTCGGCTCTGCCGGTCTTCCAGTTCCAGCTCCCGGGCACTGCGGTTGCGGGGCAGGGAGGGAAACAAGCAACAATGACTTGGGGACCACCGCCCCTTACTCCGCCAGATTAGGAAGGGTCGGTATGTCCGCTGGGACAGGCATGGGGCTGACGTCCCCCACCCCGTACTGGGCCCCCTGGCCTAAGGCCACTCACAAGATCATCAGCTCAGACTCGTAGCGCACCATGGCGTTCTTTTCTTGCACCAGCCGGAACCACTCCTGCATCAGCTTGGGGTCATCCTTCTTGCCCATGCCTGCCAAGAGAGAGCGTGTGTCGGCTGCAGGGAGCGTCTCCTCCGGTCTACCCCGGCCCTCGGGAATCGTCACACTGGGGCAAATGTGCAAAGAGAGCCGAGCAAGATGCTGCCGGAACACTCCCAAGCCAGGTCCAAAGTTTGCCTACAGCCCTGGCGGGGGCAGAGAATGACAGGCCCCGGCACACACTCCCCGGGTCTGGTGCAGCCCATGCTTCCGCCTGTCCTTCCCTGGCCCTGCCTTCCCCATCAGTGGCCTCGGCCGGCGGTGACTCTTCCCTCCTGAGAGCTTGTTTTCACCTCTCCTGCTGATGGTTCTCTTTCAGTACGCCTTAAATGCTTTGCCCTCTCTTTTTTTTCCTTCAGTTAATATTTATCTGGTACTTGCTGTGTACTAGGTCTCCTTGTGGAAATCAGTCTAATAAACGAAGCAAATGTGGATTTATAAACTATTTCTTGCCCTCGTTTTAACCCACTCATTTAACCCACTTCTTTCGTGGGGCACTGCCCCTCTCTGGGGCCCCTACTACATCCTTTCTTTGCATCCTGACACAAAGACACCTCTGCTTAACTTGTGGCCTAGCAAGCTTCCCGGCACTCTCCCAACCGATCCTCAGGGGCTGTGCAGTACACGCCAGGATGACGAGCAGGTTTCTCACCAAGAGCAGAGAAACAGCAGCAGACCCTAGAGACTGAAGTAGGTGGCCACGCCTTGCTCTGATCCAGTCCAGCAGCAGTGTCTGGGCTGCCTGCCTACTAGCTCAGGTGCCCGGAACCAACACACAGCTGACATCTAAGCCTCCACCAGGAGCCGCCTGACCCGCTGGGGCTTAGCTGTAGCAGGAGGGCGGAAGGAGCAACTCTCCAAGGGACCAAACCGCCCAAGGAGGAAACAAACTCCTTTTCCTCGGAGTACAAAGAAGCTCATGGCAAAAGTCTGGTCCTGCCTAAAAGACAGACTACGTCAGTGGTTCTCCAATATTTTTGGATTACAAACTGTTTGGGAATCTCATGAAAGCTAGGGACTTTCTTCCTAGAAAAGTGCTTGTGAGTACACACCAAACAACTTCGGACAGAATCCCAGGCTGTTCGCAGGCTTCCTGGAGTCCAGCCACGGGCCTCAGGTTAGGAGGCGCTGGACTGGGAAGTCTCTCAAAGTCCCTTCCACTTTCTGACTCACTTGGTGGGGGGATGCTGCAGCCCTGTTAAGACAAGCCCAGGGGCGTAGGGAGTACATCCTTGGGAGGGGCTCTCCGGGTCAAGCTCCCTCCTCACTACAGACGAATCTCTTTCCGTGGTGCTGTCTGCTTGACACACACGAGGCCTAAGCCAGTTAGTCTTTACCTGGTGGCCACGCTCTGGGGAGGAGAAATGCACGGCGCTCACACAAGCAGGGTTAGTGCCTGAGCCCCTGTGCATGCAGCTTTGCTCCCACAGGGAGTCCTGCCCAAGCCCTGCTCTGAAGGATGGAACGGACGCCCCCGCCTGCCCAGCCTGCTGCCGTGGAGTGCGTGCCTGCACGCCGGGGCCAGAGTGTCCTCACCCAGCCCAATAGACTTGGTTCTTGGCTTTCAAACCAGCCTGCAGCTCAGTTCCATGCATTCCTTCCGGAGCCTCTCTGCACAGTGTGCCCACATGGCCATGGAAAATGGAGCCCCAGGCATGCAAGCCGCCCAGCGCGGCACGCCGCAGCAGCACCGGGAAGGCTCCCCCTCCTGCCCCCCTCCCCACGTGGGGAGATGAAAACTCCCTCCAGGGGACATGTGAACAGCGCCCTGGAGCCACAGGAGAGCTCCCAGGCAGCTGATGAGCAGGGCTGTGTGGGGGGAGAGGCCGGTGTGAGGTGTGGAGGGCAGGTAAGAGGTTAGCAGGGTTAGTCATGGCCACACCCCCCACATGCCTTTTCAACGACAATCTTATCACCATGACAGACTTCAAATCAGACAAACTTAAAAAACAAAACAAAACAAAAAAACCACACTCAGCAAGACACAAGGTAGAGAAGTTTGCTTCTAGTGGTTGTTTTGGAGAAGAACCGGAGGGCACCTGTGTAGACCAGTCTTTGCAAGGACAGTATTCCTTGACTCTGCTGATACAAACAGCTGCCGCACAGGTGGGAGGCTCCGCGCCTGCCTTCCTGGCCCCTCTACCTGATGGATTTGAGACGTAAAGGCCCCAGCCATGAACGGCCGGGCAACGCCGCACAAGTCCTACTGCGGCCTCGAAAGGCCGGTGCCTGGAGGTGCTCTGGCTTCACTCTGTGCCCCGGCCCTCCCCTTAGACAGTCAAAGGGATACTGTGCCTTGTTCGAAACTGCCACATACTCATGACACTGTGACAGGGCTGTCGAGGGGCAGAGAGAGAGCTGGGTTTTGGATCCCTGTTTGACTGACGCTGCTACGGCCCCTCCGAGGCAGTGGGATGAGGGTGGCGAGTTACGTTACCTTCCTGGACACAGCAAGGGCAGAAGGAGAGAGGTCTACGCCGTGGAGTCCCGCCACTGGGCTCGACTTCAAAAAGGACCAAACGAGGGAGAGGAGGAGGAAACGGAGAAAGACAAAAAAGGAAGAGGAAAAAGAGGAGGAGGAATTTGGAAGTGGAGAGGGACAGGGGGAAGGTGAAATAAAAAAACAAGCAAAGGACAAAAGGCGTAAGAAGTGAGAAAGGAACAACAGGAGGAAAAGAAAAAAATACAAGAAATGGAGAAGCAGAAACAAGGGAAACAAAGTCTACAAATGAATTAAGTCCTTTTTTCAGCACAGAAACTGAACGAGAGCAGGCCCCGGCGCCAGGCAGCAGCCCCGGGCGGGCACAGGCCGGGAAGGGCGCAGACCCCTGCAGGAGACGCACATGCTCCCCCCGCGCGGTGGCTGCGCCCGCGTCCTCTGTTCCTTGGGGGCGGGAAGAGTGGCATCTAGGAATTGTCATACAGTGGCTTTTTGGTCTTGGGTCTTAGGCTCCCTCCTCAAAGACGCCCGAAGCCCCTGGAGAGAGCTGCCTGCCTCCCTGGGACAGACTGTATTAAATAAGTGGCCAACACTGCTCCAGGTTTTCAGGTGACAACCTGGGGTCACCACCCAGACCTGGGAGGAACATTCTGTCACCACAGGCATATGTGCTCAAGGTAGACCAGCCTTGATAAGTCAAGGGGCAAGAGGGGGCGTGTGCTGTCGGGCTGCTGTGCCCGCGGAAAGGGGCCCTGCCCCGTGGCGGGCTTTCAGGGCTCTGATGTGTGCAGTGCTTCCAGTTCCGAGCCGGGACAATCTGGGGGAAATGCACACACACAGAGGTGACTTCCACCAGTCCCTGTCACTGCCCCCTGACCCCCACGTGCCACCTTCTTCTGGCCCTGCCATCTCTGTGCAGGGGTCCAATGCTGCCACTGGGGAGGCTGTCACACTTTGGACTGTGAGAGCAGAAGGGGGTGAGCTGACAGGACGTGCCAAACACTTACAGGAGTGACGCTGGTGAGAGTGGCGGACGGGGAACTGAGAGAGACAGTGTGCAGAGACATCTCTGGGACCCGGGGATCTGATGGCTACTCAAGGACGAGGGAGAGGAGGTAGCAAGGGACCATCACAGAACCACAGGGGCACACACAGGGGGGCGGGGCCTCGGGCCTGCACGGGGGTCAGCATGAGGTCTACGAGAACACGGTTTAAGAAACAACCTTGCTTTAGTCAACAGAGGGGCCAAACGGACAAACTGTTGGCTGGACGGCCATCCTACTGTGCAGCTAAATAAACGCGGTACACGTCCTCTCTCTTTTGAAGCCCCTCGGGTTTCTTTGTGCACAGTGAATCTCATACACTTCCAGACTAAAGCCAGAGACAGTCTGTGTGTGTGTGTGTGTGTGTGTGCGTGTGTGTGTGTGAGAGAGAGAGAGAGAGAGAGGGGGGGGGAGGGAGAGAGAGAGGGAGGGAGAGAGAGAGGGAGGGAGAGAGAGGGAGAGAGATGCTGATCCTCCAGCGTCCTAGATAGACCAGCTGACGCGTGGGGACGAAAGAGAAGGGCTTCTTTCCTAAAAAGTATGCTCGGCCTTACAGCTCATCTACAGTCGGCCTTCTTGGTTTCGAAGTGTAGTGTCAGTGCTGAGGCTGAGAGTCCCTGGATGGAGCCCATCAAATACAGCGTCAGGGAACACCCTGCTGCTTCCTGGGACTCTCGTTACGTGGGAAGAGGCCGCGGGGCGGAGGGGAGCCGCGTCCATATGCGTTAGCAAGGGACACTGCCGGGATACACGACCAATCAACACCCGAAACGAGGAAGCAGGGACCCGTACGTGTAGGTTAAAGGATGTGTTTCTACTTTCTGGACATCACAAAATACAGCTTTTAGCTCTTTTTGTAGACCACATCCTCATACACCCTTTCCAATACAGAGAACAATATGAGATAACAGAATATTGAGAACAGAAATTAGGAAATGAAATTAGAGAAAGGATACATCAGGTAAAGCAAGTGTTTAAAAAGAAAAGAAAAAGGCGTCCCAGACGACAGGCAGAGGCAGACTGTCCCAGAACATCCCTCGGAAGGGGTCGGGTGAGCGGTTACTGTTTTCTTCTTTAGACTTTCCTGTATGCTCCAAGATTTCCATAATGAATGTTTATTACTTTTATAATCAGAAAAAAACACCCAGTAAATAGTACTTTCAAAAGAAGAAATGGGAGGGAAAACCCACTCAAACAAGGGGAGTTCCGCCCCAGACTACCACCTGCTGAGAGTACGCGGCCGGGCGCCGCTCTGGATGGTGATTTGCCTTTTATGGAGATGTAAGACATAGATGATTTGGTTCACTGGTTCTAAGGACAAAGATATCGGCAAGCTTATGGCAAACAGAAGTTCTTTGGTTTTTTTACCATCAGTGTAACGGGTTTCCGTCTCTTGCTAACAGTTCTGTCACCCCTCAAACCACTCCTGCCTCCTCTGGGCTCTGGCCATCACTTCCCAGCTCCCCAGGGCTCGGTCCAGGCTGGAGGCTTTCACCAGCGGGTCTTCACT